CCCCGAGGGGCGGGGCTCGGGCCGGTTTTCCCGCGTCGGGGCTCAGGTCCTGCAAGCTGAGGTCACGTCTCGACGGCGCGCACGGCCCGCTTGAGCCCCGGAAAAAAATCTCGGCCCTCCATATATCCTGAGCGCCAAGGATAAACTTGGAGACTCTTAAAATTTGCTTTCAAAAAGTGGGTTTGGGGGGGTTCCAGAACGCCACTGTTTATGTAGCTGCGCCGTCCTGAGCGAGTGGCGCGAAAATGGTTCGTATTGCCCCAGGGCGAGCAGGCTGATTTGCATGAATTCCGGAGCTGGGGAGGGCGAGCGGGGGCGCCCGGCGCAGGGTACCTTCCTTGCCTGCTGGGGCGCACATTATATAAAACAATATAAATAACGAAGGATCCAGCAGGACCACCACCCGTTGTCGCAGATTTTCTTTATGTGGATATAGTTTATCTGGTAACCACCGCATTATCTGAAGCAATAAAATGAGTTAAATCCCGATCTTTCCAGAAAGCACGGGAAATTAACTCGTTTTGCATAAGACCCGTAGTGTTTAAATTGGAAAGCAGCCTGTGCAGTTTAGGGAGGACTTCTCTGTGGGATTAGAAAAGAAAGGTCCCTAGACCAGTATTTGTTGGAGAAAGAAGCTGCGGACTGTTTTAATGTGGCTTGGTGATCTTTTCAAAGTAAGGAATTACCTGAGTCCGAATGAACGGCAGATACTTTTCATAGCCTTTTAAATGAAACCTACCATGACCACGAAATACTGTAGAGTCTGAGGCTTCTTTCTTTCTTTTGGTGAAGAGCAAAACAACTTGCTGTTAGAAGAAAAATAAGAAATTGATTGCTTTAAAAGATCCTAATTATCATCATACATTTTAAAACAAGTGTGAGAAGTGAAAACGTACATTTTCTCGCCTTTTAAAAACTTTTCTCTGGAGATGATTCCTTGGCAGTTCGGAGAACATGCATGAACTCACTGCTTTCCCCAGATGCAACCCTGTGTAAGTAGGTAGTGCCCTGAGAACAGTGAGTTGGCAGGAGTCCTCCAGTTTTTCTCAAACGTGCCTACACCACGGCCACTGCCACTGCTAGGGACAAAGAAATGCAGGTAGAAGCCCAGAGGAGAGGTTCTTGGTCTTGTCTAGTCAAATTACCGGTAGTATCTGAGCCCTCAGTAGATACTTGTTGAATAAAGAACTAAATGGGTGATGGACTAAAATTATTCTTAGTGTAGAGTCCTTAAGGTTAGGGTTTTTAGTTTCGCGGCCCTAAATACATATACTGTGGTAGCATATACTGTAATTGCTAATCACATAAAGTGGGGAAGATACAAGGCATAATTTCTTTGTATTTTAGAAAAAAGGACAAAAACAAAATAATAAAAAGACAAAAACAAATCAACACAAAAACTATAAAAAACGATACAGAATTTCAAAACAAGATGATAAGAAGTCAACAATGATTGTTGTATTACTTATTGTTATCTTCAAAGGAGTTGCTTGGATTACCAGATATAGGTATGCAAGACTGATCAAACAAACATTAACTGTCCCTTTCAATGAACCAATAGAAATTAGTAGTGCAATTATCTTAGCTATCTTGTGTGTGTGTGTGTGTATTTCCCTTCTTTCTTTTCTCCTTTCCCTCATTCCAGTTGTTCTTTCCTATTGACCAGTTTCTTTCCCTTTCACAATATCTATAGTACCTTTCAGTTTTCTTTACTTTTTCAGGTTCTTAAACTAGGGAGACAATACGGTGTTTACACATGTGGGTCTGATTTATTTCACCTAGGAAATGTATTTTTTTTATTTTAAAGAGTAAAAGAAGGATAACATAGTAATAGGGGGGCTTACTGAATTACAGACAAAGTGGTAGGAAATTACCAATGGCTGTTGTTTTATGTATTGTTATCTACAAGATTTGTTTTCAGGAAAACAAATAGACAAATAATAGTGAGTTACAGATAAAAGTGGTAGGAGATTATCAATGGTTGTTGTACTATACTTTGGTATCTTCAAAGTGGTTTCTAAAGAAAATAAATAGAGCTATACATGAGTGACCAATTGATGAAATGTATCTTTATACAGTGGAGTATTACTCAGCTATAAAGAAAGAAACTTAGGGGCTGGGGATTTAGCTCAGCGGCAAAAGCGCCTGCCTGGCAAGCGCAAGGTTGTGAGTTCGGTTCCCGGTACCGGAGAAAAACCAAAGGAAAAAAAAAAAAAAAAGGAAAGAAACTTAAAGCTTTTATAGGGAAATGGATGCAACTAGATAAGGAATAATAATATTCTTGTTAGAGGTTATGATAAGACAAGTCATAATCCTCCTGGAGTCCTAGGAATTAATTTGTTATACATTTTTTAAATGATAAGATCTCTGGTCCTATAAAAACGATACTCTTTTTAGTAATCAGGAAAATGCAAATTAAAACAAGAGATACAGTTTTGCTGTAATTGGCAGTACTTCAAAATCCTGGTAAGACCAAGTTAAAGATGTGAGCAACTCCCATAATGTTAGTAGTGTAAAGTTTTTACATTAATGAACAATTCGGGAATATTTAGTAGACCCAGCAAAACCATGTCAAGATATATACCCTAGAACAGTTTTTCACAGCATGGGTTCAAATGTGCCAGTAGATTGTGAAATCAATTCCGTGGGTTGCAGCTAGCGTATTTTCTTCTATCTTTGTGTGTGTGTGTGTGCTTACTTCAGTAATTTTATTTTATTGTGGTTGGTTAAGAAAACACTTAAGGGGGCTGGGGATATAGCTCAGTGGCATAAGTGCCTGCCTGGCAAGTGCAAGGTCGAGAGTTCGATTCCCGGTACCGGAGGAAAAAAAAAAAAAAAACCACTTAACATGTTAAAATACTATAACAAATCAGTAAGTATACTGTACAGTGTTGTTGACTACAGGTACAGTGTTGAATAGTAGATCGCTAGCATTTAATATCACCGAACTGAAAGTTTATACTCATTGATTAGCAACTCTCCACTTCTGTCTTCCTAGTCCCTGACAATTGCTCTTCCACTCCAATTCTATGAAAAAAAATTTTTTTAACAGTACTAGGGATTTAACCTAGGGCCATCACACTGAGCTGCACCCTCACCTTTTAAAATTTTGATACAGGGTCTCTTTGAGTTGCCCAGGCTGGGTATGAACTCAAGATCCTCCTGCCTCAGCCTCCCAGAGTGCTGAGATTATAGGTGTGTACCACCCATATTTGGATAGATTCTATGAATTTGACTATTTCAGATACTTCATCTAAGTGGAATCATGCATTATTTGTTTTTCTTTGCTTCTTTCTTTTCTTAGTGAAATTGAGTGTAAGAGTGATATGAATATTATTGCTGAAGCTTTTTGTTACATGTTTTGGTATTTGTATGCGTGCTGTATAAATTTCTCTCCTACTGTGCTCCATCGCCTGGTGTGTTCGAGGTACTATCCAGAAGAACATGCACAGTGGGTCTTTTACTGATATTCTTGCATTTTTTCATTCTGTCAAGGGCTGGTAAACCAGGCTATATTCTAAGTAGGGGGGACACAGTGCAGAGAGTTTACAATCCCTTCGGGAAGCAGAAGTAAACCAATAATTTGGGTTTGAGAACTGAGAAGAAAAAATAAAAGCAAAGTGAAAATTAGAAGCAAGATAAGGAGCTAAGAAATGAAGAGGCTACTCGTTTAGAGAAGCTGGACAGTCAGTGTAAACAAGAGAGACAGGAGAAGACATCTGATCAGAAATCTGACCATCAGGAAGCCACAGGAAGGAGAGGAAAGGCTGGTTGCAGGCAGAGCAGTGACTAGTTCCAAGTCACCAAGGTAGGGCACAGCCGGGAGTCCCCGCTCCACCCTGGAGAGCTGCATGTGAAAGGACACCGAGAGAGTCTCGATCACTGGGATCTTCCTGGCCACAGGAAGTGCTTCGGATCCATCCCAAGAATGATGGGCAGACATTGAAGGGTTTTGATGGAAGGAAAGACCCCGTTGAACCTCAAGGGCTGTGGGCACCATGGACTGCAGGGGAACCTAAGTGAAGCTAGGACACTCTCCTGGTCCTGGAGGAGAAAACAACAGCTTGTGCTGGATCATTGTGGTATGGGAAGAAGTGGTCCTACTTAAGATCTCTTATTTCGAAGTTGGAGTTAATTGGGTCTGCGATGTGCATGGTTCATTGCCGTTGGCATTATATGTCATGGTGAAAGATGGTGAAGCATCTACATGCCCTTTAGAAGGGAAATGGATACATGAGCAGTGGTATATGTATGCACTGGAATTTTGAACAGTAGTTCAGATGAATGGCAGAGCTTACTTAGATAGCTTTTAACAATATTGAATGACAAAGCGACATATCTGTAACGTGTATCCCTTTTGCAAAGTTTATAAACACAAAACATACATAAATCATGAAAATATTTAAAAAAAAAAAAAAAAACTGGACAACAGCGCAGGATAGAGATTAATGCCAAGGAGGAATTGAGAAAGAAGAGAATGCTTCCTTTAAAAATAAAAACTATGTAGCCAGGTGTGGTGGCACATGCCTGCGACTCCAGCGCTCTGAAAGGCTGAGGCAGGAGGATGGCAAGTTTGAGCCCAGCCTTGGCAACTTAGTGACTTAGGGAGACCCTATCTCAAAAGTTTAGAACAGGGCTGGCACTGTTGGTCAGTACAAAGGCTGTGGCATCAATCCCCAGTACTGCTGTATGACTGAATGAATTAAATAACCATATGAAGCAAATCTGTCAAGTAGGTAAATGTGGGTACATGGGTATCTTTTGTTTTTAGTTTCTATGCTTTTCTATAGTTGAAACATTTCATATTTAAAAATTGTTAAGCCTTATAAAATGTGTCCTACCATACACACACTGAGCATATATACACATATCTGTGTATGTG